TTAAGTTACAAGATCTGAGGGGGTTGATGAAGGTATATACAACGCCAAGATTCAGTATTATGTTGAATCTTTGTGTTGTTAGTCTTCTCTTTCGGCGTGGATGAATTATGTGTCTGTCAATAGTGGTAGTTGGATTTTGATTCGGTTTTGATCTTGCTGCACTGATGTAGAGATAATATATTTGTGTTCGTACTGTGGATGGCTTAGGGGTCCATGTCGATAGGCTGGTATCAATGGTTTTGATGATGCTGCTTGTTTTTCATCAAGAGTAGACAGGTTTTCTTCATAAGATGAACTAGTAGATGATTGGGGTTGATTTGATTAATCCGTTGTGGGCATTGGTTGCGGAGTTTCGGGTGGGTTGGTAGGAATTTTTTTTCGTGGTTTGGCCAGCAATTTTGAGTTTTTAAGTTTTTGTTTTCGCTAATGGCTCATTGAAAATTTTTGTTTTCGATAATATTCTTCGACAAAGGTTATTAAAACTTTTTTTGCTAGTATGAAGACAATTACCGTTTTCATAAGTCGTTTGTAAAGAGTCAGGATGGAGGAAGCTAAAAATGTTTAAAAAAACATTAAAAGGTATAAGAATGTCCTTTTTTTTGGTTAATGTTGTATCCTTTAGAAGAAAAGATATTGTTATCGCACCTGGTCAAGTGGTCAATGGTTTGCAAAAAAGATAGGTAGGTTTGAATAAGAGAATAGAAAATTAGAAGTTATATCAAAAAACTACAAATATGACTATTATATTTATGCTAAAAGTTCGCTCAAAAAAATGCAAAAATTGAAAATTTCTAGCACATTTGAGGAAAAGTTGAAAAGTATAGGTTTCAGAACTTGTTTGACTGAATGTTAAGTGAGCATTCGAAAAGTGATTTGATTTCCGAATTATTTTTAATATTTTCCAAATTTTATTAGTTTGAGATTGCTTTTCAATTTTTGATAATGAGATTGATTCTGAAGAGGTTTGGGGGAAGGAAAGTCTGGAATTTTAGGTTTAAATTTTCTAATTCTTCGTTTTGTTTATGGGATGATTAGGGTTTTTTGGGATTTAGTTTGTCTTTAGGCTGTGCGCGATCTTATGAAATCTTTACTGTAGGCTACTTTTGTAATTTTCTTTTAGTGATTTTTGGGATCTAAATATATTCAATCTTGTTGATTTTTGGGTTGATTGACAGAAGAGGGTTGCAACTTGGATATGATGTTTATTTAGGTTATCAAATATAAAGGTATATTCTTACTTTTAAGTTGGAGCTTTAGGTCTAGTTCAAATTAAACTTATGTCGGCTGAAATTGGCGGTGGTTTCGAACTGAGAGTGCGATGATTTCAAGTGATTTGATTGGTCGATATTCAATGACTATTTCTAAGAAACAAATGTCATAAATGGCAAGCTGAAAAAAAATCTATTTCGATTCATGTTTGATCTTTAATGATTTCAAAATAATGTAGGGGTTTGTTTATCAGGTGGAAGGTTGTCGAAACTCTACTTTCTTTAATATTTTAGATTGGGGGATTACGATTTTATAATCTTTTCATGGTTGATTCCTGAGTCTGGATGATTGGTGGAGCATACTTTTTGAGGTAGTATAGTAAAAGGTTATTTCTATGTTGGGTTAGTTCATTTTTACTTTGATCAAATAAATTGTAGGTTACATCTGTTGGTTTTTCAATGATTTGATATGGTTCTTTTCTAATGGGTGGTAACGTTTTTGAAACTCCTTACAGTATTGTAAAGTTTGGAGTTTTGAACAAAAATCCTAATTTTAGATCTGAAGCTCGTGTAAAACAAGAATTTATTTGTGAAGGATTGTTTTGTTTTTGTAGTAATTTCTTCTTGGTAAATTTCATTTTTTTGAAATCTTCAAATGAAATCCATTCTGTGTGGGTACCAAGGGCTAATTTGAAAGTTTGTGGGTGATGAAAATGATTCTCATCAAGAGTATGAGGTAGTAAATTGTAGCAGTGGGAGTCTTTTGACGGTTGGCGATGTATATACTCATTCTTACAGCACCCATCCAATAACCCTGCCACTCATTATCTCATTTCACGTTGACTCACGTATCCCCCTCCAATTTTACACCCCCACCTTATATCTCTCGTTTATATCCCCCTGTTTACCACCCCCCTCACATTTATCTCCACATGGGGGTGGTAAACGAGGGAGGGGGCTGGTTTTAACGGGGGAAGAGGGTGATGTAAACGTGGGAGGGTGTATAGGGCAGGAACTACAAAGGGAGGTAAGTTGGACTAGGGAGAGTAATAAAAACTTTTGAGAAAAAACTGCGAATCAAAATTGAATTGTATTTTAAGCCTTATCAAATTTACCTGCAACGCATATTCAGCCAGAAGCGAGTGTTAGTTTTTGATTATACTACATAATGAAAAAACTATTTATCATCTATTTTAAGGAACTTGATTATAGTCGATTAAAATAGGTTTTTTGTTTTGAAAAAAAAAAGGATTTAAATCAATTTTAATCGAATAATTTGGATTGAAAACGAAAGTGTAAAGTGTAGTTTTTTCAAGCGTCAATTGAGCGCTTGGGTTGAAACGATTTTTTTATTTCTGCAAATGAAACCTCTTCGATGAAAAATGGACAAATCTGGAACTATTTTTTGTTCCGATTTTCGACATAAAAGCTTTTAACAAAATGCTTTTCTGCGCCGTTGAAGATATTGACTCCTCGAAATCAATTTTAAAAACATATTTTCGTCCGATCATTTTTGAAAGTTCTGGGTGTTTGAAAAATGCCAATTTGCCTATACTTTTGATTAATTTATGCGCACGTTGAAGATTTCATCCTTAATTCTGAATGCGTAACTCGAATTATTTGTTCAGAGCAAATTATCTGGCTAAATAACTTCGTTGCAAATTGAAATAAAGCTAACTAGTCCTTCGTATTATTTTCATACGACTCAAATTCTCACACTTGATATTTTATATTGTCCGAAATTTTTTGTTTTTGCTCTGACTCTCAAAAAAGTAAGGAAAATATATGCTCGGGATCTTTTTTTATTCAGACCAAATCTCAAAAAATTTCTCTCGGGGTTCTATATTCATGGATCTTTGCAATCCCAGAAGGTGGGCGCGCCCCACTAGGCTGTCCTGACTGCAAGCTTTCAGTGAACGCTCACTAAAAAAGTAACGTGACTGAAAGATCGCTGTGATACTTTGATGCTGAAAGCTTAACGCACATTGTTGCAGCGTGACAACACCTCACAATTGTTCTGAATTCAATCGAGGCAGGCCTTTAATTCCATACAAGATTCGTAATATTCAGCTTAAAATTCTTAGTTTGTCAGTATTTAATTAGGCAAAAACTATTCGAGATTAGTTTATGGACAGTCGGAACATTCAGGGCTGGGCCCTGTTACGAGTAGTCTTGTTATCAGTACGTTTTTTCCCCAAAAAAACTATTCGACTTGGATTAAGGACAGCCGGAACAATCAGGGCTCTGCCTTGGTATACGAGCAGTCTTGTTGTCATCTGTATTCTTCTAATTACTCCATTTAAGCAATGGAGTTCGTACTGCTGAGAAAGACAATTGTTTTTGTTCCGACTTTCAAAGATTAAGGGCTTAGCCCTGTTATGTGCACTTTTGTACCTCCGTTCAATTTTTCAATTTTCAGTTTTTTCGTCTAACTTCATCTGTTTTAATTTCTTTTTTTTTTCGTTAATCTTATATTGAAGATAAATGTAAAGGACACGCTTTTGCTAAGAAATATATTCGAATGCCCTGCATACTATATTTTTCAGCAATGAAAATTTTTTAGCAATGATTGACCTGAAAAACGGATACGCTAGGGTCGATTGATTAGTTTATGAGAAACATTTATTATGAGACTCTTTTAGCATACAAGTCATTTAGTATACTAAATGTTCTCATATCAAAATTTCTGAGAAGTATTTACCAAAGTTAGAACAATCGACTCTATCGTGTCAGGATTTCAAGTCACTGTAAAGCATCTCTACACTCTAAAAAAAGAACATGTATTTTGTCACATGGAAAATGATAAACATGTAAAATTACAAGAAACAAAAGGTAGAATCACATGGTGTCAAATAACATGTGTAAGAACACATATCGAAATCACATGTTTTTTCACATGTTGAAAGAACAATATTAGAACAATCAGTTTTAATTTTTTGATGTAAAGTCTCAAGTTTGATGTTTTTTGGATTTCTGCACTTGATGTACAAATGATACAAAAGCTACATGTGAACAAACTGAACAAGTTTTACTATTGTTGAGCCATCTCAGGTTGTTGAGCCATCTGAGCTAAAGTATAACTTTTTTTAAAATGAGTTGGTCTGTATGTACTTTTTGTTGGAGGGAATGTATGTGCAAGTTGTCATTATTGACATTTGAAGCCAGATGAGCAAAAAAATTTACATGAACAGACAAATAAAATTACATGAGCTCACATGTGAAATTACATGAGCAATTCTGTGAATCTTGATGAAATCTCAAGTTCCGACATGTGATTACGCATGAGCTGACATGTTAATTCACATGAAAAAAATGTAAATTACACAAAAAATTACGTGGGGATTTTAAAAAAACTCTGTAAAAAACATGTGATTTTACATGTTTGGACATGTGAATCACTTGTGACACCCAATTTTTCCCGAGGTCTTAATCACATGTGACGAACATGTAAAACTACGTAATTTTTTTTGTAAAATTACATCTTCATTTTTGTGTGTGTATATTATCAGTGAAGTTAATCGAACTCACTCACAACCAATCCCTCAATATCTTAGCATGCTTGTTTGGTAACTTACTCAAGCATGCGAACTTTTCTTCCGTCAGTTCAGCGATAACCCCCGCATCTTTTCGACAATTGTCAATGCGTTCTGGCAATATAATTGCAAGGAGGTTTGAAGTGAGCATCATATCAATATAGATACAACAGACATTTGGGGTGTGATAATGTATGACTAATTGCTGACTTATGTTTTAAACATAGCATTGAAGTTCACCTAGTTGGGGGGAGGGGTATGTAGTGAGCGCATTGTAGGGGAAATTATACAGTGGTGTTGGTTGGTGAAAGCTGTGAAAAAGATCCAAAAAAGGTTATAATGGGCGAGAGAATCTGAACCAAATGAAATTTATTACCACTTTCGCTGCATCCGATTTCAAATATTATTACCTCAAAACTGAAGAACAAATTCTCCTTTCACTTTAAGCAGAGAATAATGGATTGATATATGGTAACTGAATCGAAATTTTGATCAATGGGGACAGACTTCCGTCCTTACTGTTGCTAAGCTTACCTTTTACAAGTGATTATCAAACAGTTATGAAGAAAGTATCTTCTCTGTTATCTTTTTTTCCTCATTTTTCTGCAGATTTTTTCAGAAATTATTTTTTTCTTCAAGCTTCATAATAATTCAACTATTACAATACAATGGGTGCCAACAATAGCCTTCTAAATCCCAATTCAGATGAGTAAGTTTCTCCGCTCGCAGCCCTAATTGAAAAAGAAGCTAGAAGCAAAATAATGTTGGGCAAATAGGCCAATTTTGTATCACATGCTTACACTGTCAGTACAAAAATCAAATAAAAAAAAGAGTTGTCTCGCATTTACACTTTTTTCAAAAAATTCTCAATTTATAAAAAAAAGGCAGATGAAAATGACGTTTCAATGCACTAATTGACTACTTGAGGGTTTTGACCAATATAGTAACTAAAGTCAGTATCTATTGATGCACATTTTGGCAAAAATTCCGACAAATTTTCCAATTTTTTGAAAAAAACAGGCCAAAAACGACGTTTCAATCCACATCTTATTTGTATGATAAATCGACCAAAGGTACATGTTGTCAAGTAACCAATAGGTACTCTTAGTGTGGTTAGGCGGTCGATCCCTAAATTCGCTATTGCTTCGTTCCATTTTCTTCTTTTTCAAACTTTTTATATCTGTCATGAAAAGCAGTTCGAATTTAGTTACGACAAAGCCTCTGTTGATGAGGCAAACTCACCTGATGCAGACAATCTGAAAAGCGAAAAAGGAAAAACGAAGAAAAAGAAGATGACCAAAAAGGAAAGCCAAACACGATTGAAAGGTAAAAGCATCCTTGTTTTATTCTCTTGAAAATATTTTGGTTAATTTCACTAGCTTAGCTTATTATTCGCCTTTTGATTAATCTATCAATGTAAGAAAAGTTATATTGTAGTGCATATCTACGATTTTCTGAGCGGAGTTTCAAAAAATTATCAAAAATGTTAACGATTTTTTGTTTTAGGTAGACAAAATCGATTTTTCCTAGTTTCTTGAAACATTATTAAGATCCTATTTTGACATAGCAAAAAAAGAGTATTTTTGGAAGCTATATGTGATGGCAATGAAGGCGCTTTTCGAACACATTTATGGTTGGTCGACTAAAACTAGAAGTAGTAAAAAAAATTTATTAATATCGTTTGGGCACGAGGGGTCCAATCCCCCAACCTAAAATTATTACTGATAATAGGTTTTCAAAAATTTTCTATACTTGATCGTCTTTTATGTCTTATTATGGCTAGAATCACTTGGAAACAAACTAACTTTTCGAATTTCGGTAACTTTTCGAATTTCGGTGGCTTTTCAGATGAAAGCTTCAGTGTTATACATGAAGACGAAACATCTGACACGAAGAAACCACAGACGAAGCTACCCAAACGACTTCTCTCAATGGCAAAGGCGCCGCCTAACTTCAGAAGGAGACCAAAGAACGATGCAAAGGCGGGTGAAGGTCTTCCGGAAGACGAACTGGACGAGACTGTTCAGAAAGTATCGGGCTCTGGGAAATATCTGAGAGAGAATCCTGATTTGATGGAACTTCAGCAAAAAAATGAAGACCGACTGAAAGCGAGTAGAAGAGAACAAATAACCGAAGATCGGGATTGAACTGTGTCAAATTTCAATTCTATATGAAAATCATCTCAGGGCTGAAGAAATTTTAACAAGCAATTCGGCTTATTATTGTTCCGACTTTCGATACGAAAGTAACGGAATATTTGTGCTCGGGGTGGGTTTTTTTTTCTTCAGACAAGTTTCGACTTTTTAACTAGCCATTTTTGACGGAATTTTCTTATATCATTCGAAAGGTATTGTTGGCCTGAGCTTAAATTTGAAAAGATATTTCACCTGTGATCATTTTTCGTAAAGTTACGGGGGTTTAAAGATTGCCATTTTGGCCAATTTGGTACAATTAACGCGCGATATATTTCGCGCTATTAACGCGTAAGCGGAGAGTTAATCCGTCTTAGAAATCGTTCCAAATTGGTTAAAAGAAGCTTATTTGCCATAATTGGTTTGTTACAAGGAGCGAAATCTATCCTTTTGTACTTTATATGGCGTGTGGGGGGATGATTTTCATAAAAAATTTCAAATTTTAGAAATTTTTTTTTTCATTTCGTTTTATTTCAGTGAATTTTTTAATGTTATTACTGCTCCATAAACCTTAAAAGGCAGTCGGAACATTCAGGGCTTCGCCCTGATACGAGCAGTCTTGTTTATGTTCATAAAGTAATTTTTTTGAGAAATTCTAAAATTGTTTTGCAATTATTAAGGGAACTTTTAAAATCCGGACAATTTACAAAGTTCATTCTGTAAGTTATAAAAGAAAGCCAAAAAAAAAGTTCATAAATAAAGTTCAATCTTTTGAGGCATTTAAATTTTGTCGCCGTATAACTTTCTGATAAGTTGACGGTCACAAAAAGTTGAATAAAAAAAGTATATGATGGTAGCATATGGCTCAAATAGGGCTCTGGCTAGCTAATGTTTAACAAACTCATGATGTTTGGTTCCTCGTTCACAAATTGCAAAATTTTGTTTTTGTCAGTGAAAAACAATCAAATTTTTTTGTCGATTTACCGAATACGACAACTGTTATATGCACCAGCGGATTTAGGGGGGGGGGGCTGGAGCGGACGCTCTTTTTCAGGGATTCGACCCCCTGCTGACCCAAAGGGTCCCCCTTTAAACTATTTTGAGATATCCATTTTTGGCTGACTGACCCTAAAAATTTTCTATAGGCGCCTTAGGCGCCAAAATATGCTGATTTTGAGCGGGGAGCGCGCGCCGAAAAACTCAATTTTTTGGTCAAATTTTTCCAAAAAATGCCTAAAAACGCTGTTTTTTTTTCTTCAAAAATTCGCATGTGGCGCAGAAGATTTGGTCAAAATACGGTCTTTATAACGATTTGGTAGAGCTCATTTTTTTAAAAAGTCCTTTTGAAAATCCTAGTTGCGCCCTTGGTTTTATAACTGTTTTCTGTTTTCCGTTTTCTGTTTTGAGGCAACTGTTTTGTTTTATAAAATTATCATTTTCAAAAAACTTAGTTTATTGCCTTGTATAGATACCAAACAAAATTTTGAGTTTGATCAGTTTTGTACACTTTACACGAATTGCTTCAAAATTCCTGCGTGTATCTGCAAGCTCTTTCCAAGCATTTTCAAGCTCCTAGGAACGTTATCAGCAGCTCTATTCCCCTCTTCTGGTGAAAAATACGAACAGCAGTTTGCCTATGGCTATCGGAACATATCAACCTAAATAAATAGGCAATCATAAAAGATTTCAAAATCAAGTTTGCAGTTACATCTACTCGACGTTTACTTCGTCTGAGACAGGCATTTTGGGGCAAAATAGTCAGACTTCAATTCATCAGCAGACCAAATCAGCAAACCAAAATTGAATTTACTTGATAGTTCCAGTAAATCGAAAAAAGAAAAAGAGGCTTATTTTCCAGTAAATCGAAAAAAAAGAGGTTTAGTAATCCGAAAATTTAATGTTCAAAATTGTAAACAACATTTGATCCTCAAACTTGCCAAGTATTAGTTAAGCTCAAAAGTATTGTAAATTACCCCTAGTCAATCAAAGAAAGTTATCTTTCAAGATCTTGTAAGATTCTTGCCATTCAGGAGTATTTTGCAAGATCCTGCAAAATTTTTCTGCAAGTTTGCAAGAACGAGGTTATCTTGCGAGAAACTTGCAAGGTATTTGCAAGAAAACCTTCTCTTAAAATTTTTCACAAAAATTTAATCTGAGCTCAAGAAAAACACTATGTTTGACTACGGTCACATAGAACTCTGAGCTTAGGTTTTAAAAATTGTGGTTTTATGTGCTCATTTATCAGCTGATTTTTTAGCTTTCATAAAAAAATTTCAGGTTGTGGTTATACATTATGCATTTTGATTTAAGATTTCCAAAGTATTAAAAACTTTTTTAGAGTGTTTATTTTGAGCTAGTAATTAATATGATGCAAATGGTTACATAATTGTTATGTTACTGTTAAGTAGTTGTTTCATAATTAAGTTTACTGATACGATAATTTACTGATACATCGATTTAGGGCACGAGTACCATATTTGCGTGCGCAAAACATTTTCTTGGGGGATGTGGTGGTATAAAAAAAAAGTTGAAATTTTGTCGACTTGTTATTAGGTTAGCCAAATTGATTTACCGAAGACAAGTCTTTCGAAGAAAAAACAGCAGGCTAAATGTTAACTAGATAACTAAAATTTAAGAAGGGTGTGATTTCCAAAAATTCGAGCAAAAATTTTGAAAATTATTTTTATAAAAAATTTGGTTCAACTTAGTATAAACTTTTTTTCACTATTAAACGAAACTAAGTAAAAAAAAACATTTTCTTAAGTTTGGTTTTGCTCCATATTTTGTTTGTAGTAATATAGTTTTAACAGTAAATGAAAAAATAGGTTTGGAGTAACTTTGATTTACCAAAAAGAATATCGTTTTTTGGGTAATTTTTTGAACCCGAAATTTACGAAACAAATTGCACCATATTCATTCTGTTAAAACTTCCAGCAAGATCGTTCTTCATCTTTTTTCGTATAAAATCAACCGAATTTAACAAAACTCGTTTCGATTTTCAAGTTGGATTTCTTTTGTCCGCTTAATTATTTCAATCATCACAGTAAAATGGCTTGAAGCGCAATCAATTCTATAGAGAGAAAGTTCCTCAGAATACGTGAATTTCCAAATGGGTGACCGCCCTAAAAGCATGTGTGTCGGTTAGCTTGCCCATGTAAAAGCAGCATATAGTTTTAATTCTCGCTATTTCAAATTTTGTTTACTCAAATTTGCAATTTTTATCAGCGTACGCATAAACGATATTTTAATTCGGTGAAAGTGGAACTTTTGTTTCCTTATTGACAAATCAAATGGCTTTCGAAACTGTTTGAAAATTTAGTCTAACTGGTTTTTCATCAGAATGCACTCCCAATTAAAACAATTTTTGCATGCTAATCGCTACACCCCCACGCAAATGAAAGCTGAACGATTGCGTCCGCTTACACCACCTCATCGCGCGAATGTCTTTTTAACGCGTCTAGGACAACAAGCCGACGAGACTTCAAGCCGAAGGGACTTCGAGCCGAAATTAAAACTTTACAAGCACCTCAAAACACTATTTTATCATCTGTAAAACGTTATTTTTCAAAAATTTTGGCAAATTTAGTCCATAATAAACTTTATTCATGACAATACACCGCTTGTGATTGGCATCCGTTAATAACATCAGCCGGTTTTTGAAATGCATAAATTATAAACATGAAAAATGCCTTCAACCATGTTTTACTTTTCAACTTTCCGAAACATCATTTGGAGGCTTAAATTTTATGAAAACGCCAATAACTTGTGAAGAAAGATCCTGAAATTCAGAAATTTTTCAAAAAAGTTTTCAAATTAATCATAATTCACGATTTTATAAGGAACTATTCGGCTTGAAGTCCCTAATTTTACGATTCGGCTTCAAGTCCCGTCGGCTTGATGTCTAGCGCCCCTTTTTAACTCTCCTGACGCATAACTGTTTAAGAATTTACACGTTTATAAGTCATTGGGGCAAAACATGGGAAACAATATCAAAACCAACTTTTTGTAAATTTTTTTAAATTTTTTCTTCATACCATAACAAAAAATTTGTAGATGGCTTCAATTAATTCTCAATTATGTGATAAGATTGAATTTTCAAGCAGTGATATCTTTTTTCACAAGTTCTTGTTATTATTCGGTGACGAATCTATCGAGCTCTTGGACTCTTGAGCTCGGTCGATAAAACGCAGCTCAAAACAAAAGACTCTTAGCGCTGAAAATGTCTGTTTATTTAATTTGGCATCTTGTACATTGCAGAAACACTTTTAACTTGCGATTGAAAAATATTGGTATTGATTATAGAAGAAGCTGTTTAAATGGTAGCTAAGCGAACATCTGCGATTTATGTTTACTTTTGTTTGAATATTTAAACCATTTCAAAGCTGGAGTGTCCTCTTACACGATGAAAAAATGTATATTGAAACTATCTGTGTTCTGTTCAAATATGTTTTTGTTTGTCTTCTCAAAACATACTGATTTTCCTTTTCCGGATTGACATTTTTATATCATAAAATGAACGTCTTGGAATAATAAAAACGTCCTAAATTTTTATGCCCGGTGTTATTGCGAAAATTTTAATGGTTACAACTGAATTTTTATATAATTAACTACTTCGGTCATTTTAAGATCAGGCAGAGGTTTGTCTTATTTCAAAATGTTTCCTCAATAATATCGTTCAAAGCTACTAATTTGAAATTCTTTTCTTCAACCATTTATTGTTTGTCTCGCAGTCTATTTCAGAATTTGGGTACATACAGCTTAACTCTCGCCATTGAAGTTCTGAGGTATTTACTGACTGAACTATGGACACTTTCATCCACACTGTGGACAAAAGGGCTACAGCAGCAGTATGGAGGGAGTCCATCGAGTTGTCCATACAACGAGAACAGAAACAGATAGAGGCCCATAAAGCTCTTCATGTTGGTAAGAAACTATATCAATTACCAAATAGACTAGCACTTCAGATTTGTTGAAAAAACAGTGACTCGATAAAAACAGTGACCATATTTGTTTCGCATCTTAATGTTTTTTAAGCCTTTTCATAATTTTCTAATATTGTAACCCTCTTTTAGGCATCCTTTGTCTCTGTAAGGATTTCTAAGTCTCCATTGAGGCTCTTGTCCATTTCTCCTCAGTCATAACTTATGCTTTTTCAATAAAAATTTCGAAAGATTCAAAAATTTTGCATAAAAAAAGCTTATCTTTAAAGGAGGTTATCTTGCAAGATGTTTCAAGAACCTTGCGAGATCTTTTAAAGAGATGCATAATCTCCAAAAAAACCTTGCAGGATTTTTGCAAGATCTTCATGGATAACCTCCTGTGATTGGCTAGGGAAGTTATACAGCTTAGGAATTGAACCAATGCGGATAATCCCGGGTTGCCCACCATAGAAGGGTGTCCTACAATTTAATGACATACAATTTAACACCGTACATTTTAAAACTTAGTCATTTCACTACTAAACAATTTAAATCGACAACAATATAACTCCTATTTTCCAGTTTAACACAGTACATTTTAACACCTAGTCATTTCACTATTAAAATTAATGCTTTATGAATTCCTTATCTTAACTCTTATCACACCAAAGTTAATCCTGCAATTAACACCCGCACCATAATGAAAAACTTGGTTTATCTTAGTTATACATCCTAAAAGGAGGCTTCCCAATTTACTTAAGACTCTTATCTACAGGTTTGTAATTTATTTTCAATTAGACTTTTCGCTAAACCTTTATGATTACTAAAAAAGCTGCTTGTGCTAATTCAAAACAATTTGCCGTAAAAATTCTGACAAAAATTAAATTCTGACAGTCACTTTATACTTTACTCAAGTGATAAACAAACGCAAACACAATAAACACATTATGATTGAGTCTTCTTTCGAGTTCACAGTTTCATCTAAAAACAAGCCAATTCTTATAGCGTCCGGCCATGAATTTTGTTTCAAGCGCAAATATAAGTTTACAGAAAACTGGATTTGCTCAAAATATCAAACACATAAATGTCGAGCAACTGCCATTACTGAAAATAACGAATTAATCGAGACGCGTGGAGAGCATAACCACGACATTTCAGCGGGAAAATTGGAGGCCCGAAATGTCATAAAGCATATAAAAGATCTCAGCGAGAGATTTACCCCGACTGTTGCAGTTGCCAGTGCGGTTTTGCCAATTACCAACGATTTGGCTACTCAGTTTGCTCTCCCAAGTAAAGACAAACTGATCCGAACGGCTGCTCGCACTCGTAAGCAGCTAGATGTAAATATGCCGCCCATCCCCGTTGCGCGAAATTTCAAGATCCCTGAAATTTTTGAAAATTTTATCCGGTATGACAGTGGGTCAAATGATCATGAGCGAATCACTTTATGCGGCGACCCCGAAATGCTGAGAGTTCTGGAGAAGTCATCTTTCTGGTTAGCCGATGGAACTTTCAAAATTACTCCAAAAATGTTCTATCAGCTTTATTCAATTCATGTTAGTGTATCTGGCATTGCGCCAGCTTGCATTTACGCCTTCCTCCCTAACAAAACCGAAAAAACCTACAATCGCTTCCTCTAATTATTTGCGGGCTTTTGCAGTTCTTTGAACTATTGCTTGTTTTTGGTTCATTTTGGAATGATTCATTGAAAATATTGGCAAGGCCATTTCATTTTGGTTTGAAACGTTTCATTGAAATCATTTGCAAGGTCATTTCTATTCAAAACTTACGCGAATTAAGTAGCGCAAATTTGTCTGGCTTTAAATGGCAAAAATTTCTCTCGTTTAATTCTTTGATGGTTACCGAACTCCCCTTTCAAGTAAGTTTTCTTTTCATTTGGATTAAAACGGTGTTAAGTCATAGAAATTGTTTTAAAATGTAGCGATGTTATATTGCTAAGGCAACAAAAAGTAGAGAGTGAAATTGTAGGGTGTTAAGTTGTTTAGAGTTAAAAAGGGGGGAACCCATAGAAGATAATGCGCAACCATGCACATCCATGCATGATTTGCATGGAAAATGACTTATCATACGTAGCACATACGTTGGTTTCGAAAACCCTCAAAATAGCTTTTTAATGGAGTAAACTAGTAATAAAACGGTTTCTCATCGATATGTTGGAAAAATTAAAGCGTTTATTTTACGCGCAGTTAGTAAATAATATCAGGTAATTGGTTACATAAATATTATATAATCGTTATGTAATTGTTTGATAATTTGATTTACGGGTATGGTAACTTCCTGCTACATCAATTTACCGCACAAAAGCCTTTTTATTCAGTGACGTGCGCAGAATATTTTCTAATGAAGAGGTGTCGCTTTGAACACCTTTTTAGTATGGAAAACAGTCAGTTTGGGCCACAAGAGAAGAAACATACCTAGACATTTTTTGTTATTTTACGTGTGCTTGAGTTGTGCTTTTAGCGCGTAGCGTGACAGAGTTGATCGATGAGCGGAGGAGTGAATTGCAGTGTCAGATAGTGAGAGAACAGACTGACCTCGAGCTCAAAGTGGGAAGGGATAGATTCAACAAAATAATGGTGCGTACTTTAAGAACAGATGTCTTGAATAAAAGTAACAGGTTCCAGGATCATCCTGACCCTAGTTCTTGCTGCTTTGTTATGCTAACTTTTCCTTAGTAGTAATAAATTAATGCAGCTCGGTTACTAAGTTATAAACACCTCCTTGGGGTTAGAATGAACTTAAAACTTCTGATATTTTTTAAATTCTTGAAGCAAAACTTAAGTTCTATAATAGATGGTAGGGTCGAATAGCATATAGTATTAACCAGTCATAACCAATTTTATTCGATGAAAATTTTCAACAGGTATATTATCACACAAAAAACTTTTCGAATCCGGGTGTGTGATTTGAGAATGTTTTTTGCTCGGGACAAGGCAGTCAAAACATTCAGCGACATTTGTGCAGTAATTGGTTGCTGTCTTGTTTCAGGAGCTGGCCGAAATGAATAAAGATGACTTCAAAGCATCTCTGAGAGTTGGCTGGAAGGTCCGTTTTGACATTCTAAACCTATTAATTAAGAAATCTTCTTTCATAACCACATTATTTAGGGCTGAAAATTGGAATTTGTTTCAGACAATGGACTACTTCCGCTACGCATTCCGAATGGTTATTTTCATGATTCGCGGGTTCTCTCTTCGCAAATTGTGAGTAAATAAGCTTAAAATACGAGATATCTGGATGCTGCGCAGATAGCACAGAATTTTTCAAGCGCTCTAATTTTGCAAAGAAAACATTTTTCGATTTTTTCTCGATTTTTCCTCATTTTTCGATTTTGTCGGTCGCGCAGATGTCAATTTCGCAGCACAAAATCCAAAGTGTGGAGTGGTTTTTTAAGTAAAATTTTGTCGCGGAAAAAGTCTGAATATACCGTATGTCGTCGTCTTGGGGAAACTGACTGTTTAGACCCAATAAATCCCTTCTATATTGTCCGCTAAGTCCCTTCCCTAATTACCAGAACCAGCAAGGGGTGAGCTGTGATCCGGTATTTGATGACAATCCCTTCGGTTGAAAGGTTGAATTTGGTGGTCGATCGATGAACTACACTGGGTTGCGCCCTCTTTGCTCGATTGTTCTCGAATGTTCTCTTCCTCGGAAATAATCGCAAGAAACTGGATAGTAATTTAATTCAGAAATAAATACATAAATTGCCGAGTATAAGGGCCGCTAAGTGGCCTGAATACAATTTATTAAGTATCAATGAATTTAATATGCGATAAATTCCAGAAAGCTGCCTCTTGCAGTTCACTTTACAAACAATTCTAAACAACTCCTCAACTTGGCTTCACAAAGCTTCACTAAAAATCTCGCGTCGAGAACTCACTTTAAAAATTTCACGAGTCACTCTCAGGACTCGTCTGAATTCTATAAGTATCACTCCTGCTCTCTAACTAACCGAGAACCAACCGTTCGCTCTCACAGCCCAATTGTTCTCTAACTAACTGAGAACCAACCGCTCGCTCTCTCAACACAATTGTTCTGCCAGTTCGGTGGTTGTGCCTTAATCACGTATCGTTATCTTCATTTACTTTCGGTTCGGTCAAAAGTGTACCGTTCCCCATCCCTACTAACATTCACTTAACTAGCTGCCACTCATGACTTATCAGCTGAATCAACCATTAGCTCAGCTTCAATTAAACATCGGGGTGGCACTTAGTCGATCAGGACATACTGAGCAAACATTGGGTTCAACTACAAAATCAGCTCCCAATCGTATTTGACAAATGACCCCTTGCATGATTTTATTTTAGTTCTTCCTAACTTTTTCCCTTTCCGATGAATTGGGTAGTTTTCACATAACCGGGAATTTAACTTCCATTATATTTGAAAAAATTCCATTTTTGGTCATTTTTAATTTTATTCCCCTAAGTCCAAGGGCTGGGTAATTCCCTTCCCCGTGTCCGTTTTCATCCAAAAAAAAACACCACAAAAATTTAATTAATATGCTAAGGCTGTTCATAAAATCTTCATCCCAAAATTCCCATTTCCCCCATAGATGTCCCCATTTTTTGTCCGGGGCTGTATTTGTACTTGTTTGTCGTTCTTATCGAAAGTCCAAATGGAGTGGGTTAAGCTGACCCCAATGTTTGCTAATTACAGAAAATCGTTTTATCTCGGGTACAAAGGTCAAAACTAAAAAATCTCGATTTAAGGGCCTCCCCTTACCTCCCCAGGTGGGTAGGTACCCCTTACGGGTCCTTACAATGCTAATTTATTGCTTTTCAGGGGGTTCCGGGGTCTTGGGGTCAAAAAAGCCAAATGACCTCTTAGAGATCATCCGAGGTCAAATGAGGTCAAACGTCCTATTTTCGATTGGAGATCACTCCCACTAAGTTTCATTCATATCGGACCATTCCTTCCCATATTTTCGAAAAATTTGGGTCAATTAACACTTTTCCCTAAAATAGCCATTTTCACCCCATAGGAAGTTCGGGAGAGGATTGGGTCATTAGTGATCCCCCTACTGGGTTGGGCCCCCCTTCACATTGGTGCATTAAAATCACAAGTCATTTATCACTATCAGGTGTTATTAGCCTAATTCAATATTCAAGTGCTAATAGCTTCCGAAGTAGCTCCCGGATTGTGTCCAAACATTGATACATTATAGGTCTGCCCCCAACTTACCATCCCCCCAAGTATCAGCCTCCTAGCATTATCAGGGGTTGAGAAATAACGAAAAGTGGGTTTTGTTTACAAAGGGCGTAAAACCGGATGTAATAACCGGATGCGTTCAAAATCCCGGTGTTGAACTTCCCTCGCCTAGGGCTACAACATATTGCAATATGAAGTCATTCTGACCATTAGTTACTGGTTTACAAAAAGTGCTAATTGCATTTTCGGAAATCATTATCACTCGCCCCTCAGGGGTCCAAGGGGTGTGGAAGTTGGCATGCCCGGCTAAAATCATCTCTATTAGTCACCCACCATTTTTCATAAGGATCGGACCAGTGGTTCCCAATCCGGGGGGGGGGGGTTCCAGATTTTGCGCGCTTTTCCAATTTTTCGCCCTAGAGGTCAAATTCAAGGTGCAGAGTCCGATAACGATTGTTTGCTCTCAAACTAAGCTTATCTGTCACTTGATTTCATTGCTACAAGGTCATACAGTCGGTTTACGTAAAAATCTAATTTAGCAATTTTCGACCAATTTCATCATGAATTACCAATCCTATACTCAGGTTACTATAGCATGTAATACAGTAGAATCACCAATTCTACAGTTTTCCCTTCTAGTCTATTATTCTCCCGAATAATGCTAATAACAATGATTAAGTCACCGTTTTTCTATTAAGACAAATAACCAATCTAACACCTCAACTCGACTCTTTGTGTAATATCTAATCCCTCTTTTAACACCCTTTTTTTTACCTAAACTAGACTTTAGTTTTTTTTTCTGCTATAGTACACCGCCTTGTACTACTCTCCAGTTTTCGACACAATTTATATGCACCATCATTTATGTGTTGCGACGCAGTGAACCGCGGGCTTCAGTTTCCATAGACTCTTACATAATCAAATTATCTATGTTAGCACCAAGGGTTGCTTCCTTGAGTGAAGCAACTAAGAGTCTAAGAAAGATTTTAAGCGCGTTGTGAAATACCTCCACCATTCTATCAAAACAATAAATTATATTACTATTATTTTTACTGAGTTTCTATCCATCTTACTGGTGGAGATATTTCTGAAGCACTTATAAATATCGCAAATGAGATAAGAATGTGAGAGAGGGAGAAAGAGTTTTCAGTTTTACTCACTGAGCTGAACTAAACCCCGTACTAGTTCAACGACCTCTTGTTTCAAGTTTCTTTCAGCGCTCCTCCTGTCTTTTCCATCTGTCTACGAGGTGTCGATAGTGCTGCTGCGGCACAGTCCAGTTATCCGACTCCCCCATAGCATCTGGAGGACGCCAACACTGCTTCGGGACCTCTCCCTCCGATGCGGCCGAGCCCCGGTCAACTTCATTTTCGCCAAACAAAGACAGCTTTTTACATCGATCGATCAAATTGTGGAAGTAGGCGGACTTTACATCTCTAGGCCCCACTTCTCTTCTACCGCCAAGTCACTCTTGGTCATCGTTTGTTCGGAATCGCTTGGATGACCTGAAGGAACCTTCTGATCTGCTACTCGCAAGCAGATTTTGACGTTCGTCCCATCGAATCGCGTCGCTGTCGACTACTTCGTCCACGTCTGGCTCTGGAACCACTGCAACTCTCTCTGTTCGGCCTCCTCCACGAGGTCATCTCAAAACTTCACCTAATGAAACAGGCTTTAGGCACCCGTACATTTCGTATTCCTCCACTTTCGTTTCTTGAACCACATTTATGCTGTGATCGTCATAACTCGTCGGCCACCTTCCAAGATTTTGTCGGGAGACTCCAATTCCGCTGTTATTTTCGCAATCAACCTCTTCCGCATGTCTGATCTTGGAATATGATTTCCTTTAATCTGTCCGCCCGGTTCATGTGGCAGAGAGGGCATCCGTTCCGGAGAAGGCCTATGAGTCAAGTGCCATATGGGTACCATTGAACCTTCTCTCGCCCCCGTCCACAAGAAATCTTCTCCGCGACTGAAAACCAAAGAGCACTGATACTCTTTCATCGATCGTAGTCCTAGGACCATCTCGGCTTTAAATTTCGGGACCAAAAGCGCTTCGATTTCTTCGGCAATGTCGATCAACTTGACTCCCTTTGGTCGATTGCTCTCGACTGTTCTCTTCCTCGGAAAAAATCGCAATAAACTGGATAGTAATTTAATTCAGAAATAAATATATAAATTGCCGAGTATAAGGGCCGCTAAGTGGCCTGAATACAATTCATTAAGTATCATTGAATTTAATCTGCGATAAGATCCAGAAAGCTGCCTCTTGCAGTTCACTTTACAAACAATTCTAATCAACTCTTCAACTTTGCTTCACAAAGCTTCACTAAAAATCTCACGTCTAGAACTCACTTTGAAAATTTCACGAGTCACTCTCAGGACCCGTCTGAATTCTATAAGTTTCACTCCTGTTCTCTAACTAACCGAGAACCAACCGATCGCTCTCACACCCCAGTTGTTCTCTAACTAACTGAGAACCAACTGCTCGCTCTCACAGCACAATTGTTTTGCCAGTTCGGTGGTTGTGCCTTAATCACGTATCGTTATCTTCATTTCCTTTCGATTCGGTCAGAGGCGTACCGTTCCCTATCCCTACTAACATTCACTTAAGTAGCTGCCACTCAGGATTTATCAGCTGAATCAACCATTAGCTCAGCTTCAATTAAACATCGGGGTGGCACTTAGTCGACCAGGACATACTGAGCAAACATTGGGTTCAACTACAAAATCAGCTCCCAATCGTATTTGACAAATGAGCACTTGCATGATTTTATTTTAGTTCTTCCTAACTTTTTCCCTTTCCGATGAATTGGGTAGTTTTCACATAACCGGGAATTTAACTTCCATGATATTTGAAAAGTTTCCATTTTTGGTCATTTTTAATTTTATTCCCCTAAGTCCAAGGGCTGGGTAATTCCCTTCCCCGTGTCCGTTTTGATCCAAAAAAACACCACAAAAATTTACTTAACATGCTAAGGCTGTTCATAAAATCTTCATCCCAAAATTCCCATTTCCCCCATAGATGTCCCCATTTTTTGTCCGGGGCTGTATTTGTACTTGTTTGTCGTTCTTATCGAAAGTCCAAATGGAGTGGGTTAAGCTGACCCCAATGTTTGCTAATTACAGAAAATCATTTTATCTCGGGTACAAAGATCAAAACTAAAAAATCTCGGTTTAGGGGCCTCCCATTACCTCCCCAGGTGGTAGGTACCCTTTACGGGTCCTTACCTTACAATGCTAATTTATTGCTTTTCAGGGGGTTCCGGGGTCTTGGGGTCAAAAATGCCAAATGACCTCTTAGAGGTCACCCGAGGTCAAATGAGGTCAAACGTCCTATTTTCGATTGAAGATCACTCCCACTAAGTTTCATTCATATCGGACCATTACTTCCCACATTTTCGAAAAACTTGGGTCAATTAACACTTTTCCCTAAAATTGCCATTTTCACCCCATAGGAAGTTCCGGAGAGGGTTGGGTCATCAGGGATCCCCCTACTGGTTTGGGCCCCCCTTCACATTGGTGCATTAAAATCACAAGTCATTTATCACTATCAGGTGTTAATAGCCTAATTCAATATTCAAGTGCTAATAGCTTCCGAAGTAGCTGCCGGATTGGGTCCAAACATTAATACATTATAGGTCCTCCCCTAACCTACCATCCCCCTAAGTTTCATCCTCCTAGCATTATCAGGGGTCGAAAAGTCGGTTTTGTTTACAAAGGTCGTAAAACCGGAAGTAATAACCGGATGCGTTCAAAGTCCCGGTGGTGAACTTCCCTCGCCTAGGGCTACAACATATTGCAATATGAAGTCATTCTGACCATTAGTTACCGGTTTACAAAAAGTGCTAACTGCATTTTCGGAAATCATTATCACTCGCCCCTCAGGGGTCCCAGGAGTCTGGAAGTTGGCATGCCCGGCTAAAATCATCTCTATTAGTCACCCACCATTTTTCATAAGGATCGGACCAGTGGTTCCCAATCCGGGGGGGGGGGGGGGGGGTTTCCACATTTTGCGCGCTTTTCCAAATTTTCGCCCTAGAGGTCAAATTCAAGGTGCAGAGTCCGATAACGATTGTTTGCTCTCAAACTAAGCTTATCTGTCACTTAACTTCATTGCTACAAGGTCATACAGTCGGTTTACGTTAAAATCAAGTTTCGCAATTTTCGACCATTTTCGTCATGAATTACCAATCCTACGCTCAGGTTACTATAGCATGTAATACAGTAGAATCACCAATTCTACACCGTATCTCAGTTGTGATAGTCGAAAAAAGAATCGCGACATTGTTGGACAAAAAAAATGGTCGCATCATGGTCGAAAAAGAAATCACGGCTTGGTCGAAAAACGTGTCTCAGACAAAGTCTGAAAAAAGCATTCGTCGGTCGCAGCTGCTATACCATTTTGAAAACTAAATATATAACGCTAAAAGTTAAGTCGAAATAAAGTGCCCAGCTCGTTTGCTTCAAATTTTTTTTGGAAGGAGTAAGAGTGCGATATAATTCGCTAAGCATAAATATTATGATCTGTAAATAAATTGTTGAGTCTATTAATCAAGCAGTTCGAAAGATGTTAGGCTAGTGGCAAGCGCTTTATCTTTGCATTTCATAATTTCCGGATCAGTCCTCATAATCCCCAAATTTTCTTTGGTTAAACGGTCATTTTTGAGAAGATCAAAAAACCACCCCCGCATTTATATTCCTCGCCTCCTTCGAAAGTCGGGGCAACAAGAATGTTCGTATATAAGAGCAAAGTCGTGAATGTTTTGAGCACCCTCCAGCGTCGATAAAAAGTTTTTTGGATAATTTTTTTAATGTTCGGAAAACTGAATTTGGAAGGATTTAACTTGCCGCTTAACTTGAAATAAAAACAAAATACAGCATGTGTTTTGTCACCCTCCAGACCATAATATCTTCTAGATGGTGTAGAAAAAATTCTTCAAAAACGCTTATTAACAAGTCAAAAAATGAATGAATAAACTCCCCTGCCGACTACCCTTTGTACTAATTTGAGATATCCGTTTTTGGTGACAAACTTTAAAACTTTTCTAAAATCGTCTTCGGCGCCAATTTATACTAATTTTGAGAGGGGGCGCGCGCCGAAAAAACGCAATTTTTGGTCGAAAGTTTCCAAAAAGTGCACAATAACAATTTTTTGGCCTGTTTTTTTACAAATCTGCCTGCGGCGCAGAAGATTTTGTCAAATTAGGGTCTTTAAATGAGCAGAGTCAAATATTTTTGTTCAAAATGTTCACTAAAAAGGGTCGGCACCGGGTCGAAACCGGAGACAAATAGTGCAGCATTTTCAGCACAATTTGTCTCCGGTTAAGAATGTGTTGTCATCTAGTCTCGAGATTGTTCGGAACGGACCAAAAATCAGTCAAAAAACCTAGAAAAAAGCAAAACAAAATTGTATTTTTCTTGAAAAAATGTGCACCGCATGAAAACTCTGGATCAGCCACTAACTTTATATTTGCGGTAACCGCATGACATCAAATCGAGTGCCAGATTTAGGATTTTTTTTTCATGTCAGCAAAACTTATATAACAGAAACACTATCTTCGAAAGTGGCAGGGGCGGATCTAGGATTTTCTCGAGGGGGGCGGATTTTCAAAAAAATTTCCAAAATTTTGACGACCTTTTTTTTTTTTTTTAGGTCGACCAAATTGATTTTTCGAGCTCTCCCAAAGCACTGTTTTGCCTCAATTTTGGCTAAATTTTCTGCGCCGCAGGCAAATTTTTGAAAAAACAGTCAAAAAGCCGTTTTTGGGCACTTTTTGAAAAATGTTGACAAAAAAATCGCGTTTTTTTTGGCGCGCGCGCTCCCCCTCAAAGTTAGTATATATTGGCGACGAAGGCGCCTTTAGAAAAATTTTAGGGTCGGTCGGCCAAAAATGAATTTCTGAAAAAGTATCAAAGGGGGGACCCTTTGGGTCGGCAGGGGGTCGAATCCCTGAGGGAAGGGGGAGGACCAACCCCCTCACCCCCCCCCCCTAAATCCGCCCCTGGAAAGTGGTGTTGATGCCTTTGAAACTAAATGCATACTTTGCAGCGTGCTTGTACCTCCGTCTTATCGCAGTAGTGCAAATTTTTCACGATGACCAAAAACGTGGTTTGATTTTTCAACGAAGAATTTATTTAACTCACAATGTCATGAGTTTTCTCACAATGTCATGTTTTTTTTTGGAAACCACTCATGTATTTTGTATCGCAAGTGATGCTATCGGCTGCCTTGCTTCTGCGTAGATTGAGTTGTACGCTTACATACTATATTTAACGATAAGTTGACCAAAAATCAACTTGACCCTCTTTCTGATAATATTTTTATTGTGAAATTGTTGAAGTTTTTGCCATACAGACTATTGGTTATTCGTTGTTAAAAAAAAAGACAAAATGTTGGCCGACTTTCTGATGGCTAAAAAAACCGAAAACATCTTTGCAGATACGTTGACCCTTCACTGACCAAGGAAGTAAATGCAATAGACATGCAACCCAAATATCAGGTAGAAACACATGATCTATTAAATCCATTTTGAAGTCATTACCATAGTTGTCACTTTATTTTTTATTAGTCTAACTGGGAGTTTTTGGCCTGTCTGTCTTGTCAGCCGCAGTACAGAACAAAAGAAATGTTGGACAAGGTGAATATTTTTGATTCAACAACTATGATAATAATTATAATATAATGATGCAGTGATGATAAATTTGTGAGTTGGCTGTTCTTAAATAAATTACAGCGTAATATAACTATAATTGAGAAACTATTCATATCAAGCGTTAAATTATGGCATCTTGAAAAATTACCCTGCAATACAGCCTTAATGATGACAAATAAAATAAAGCAGAGAAAAATCTTATTAAACAAGATGATCAGAGTTGGAACCGGGCATGAATTTGATGTTGCTGATCCTAAAAACGAGGTGGCCCGGTTCCAACTCTGGAGATGATAAAAATTGTAGTTAAATAGTTGTTTAAAATTTGCAGATCTTCTACTTTATTCGTCCCTTGCACCTGATGGAACTATTTCCCCCTGACATGGGGATGGAGGTGTGCAGACACGTGATCTACACTAAGTACGAGCACGGAAGGGTACTTGTTCATCAGGACACCCGGCCAGAGAGGTTCTATTTTGTGCTGGAGGGCAAATGTAAGAAAAATCTGCGACATGTCTGAAAAAATTCTAAGTCAGATAACCAAAAAAATGAAAACAGCTCAATGCCTTCGAGCAAGCTTACAAAAGTTAAGTTTACTCAATTATCTTGTCTGATTCTGTATTAGCTTGCTGTATTAGTTTTCAAAATGTTTCCATGATTAGGCAGTTTAAAAACTCCGTTTTTTACCTGCAAACTTTTCCCATGAATGGGGATTTTGTACTGAGTTTTAGCAAGAGTTTTGTTTTGCTTAGTAAACCTGATTAGAAAAATTGATCTCTCAGATAGAAAGAATGTGGTCAAGTCTGTCAGCTGGATCAACAAACACCAACACAGTGACGTGAGTACTGACTCACCCAAACCACCAGAAAGTTGAGATACCGCTCTTAGGCACCACATTCGCACATAAATTCATTCGTTTTAATAATTTTTTTTTGGTGAATGCATATTCCTCATCGTAAAGCAACCAGGGCGGCCGTTAATATAATAATTGATATTTGTGGTTAGGCTGCAAGCAGAAGAGAGGCCTTATCAGCCCGGTTTAACGATAGTTCTTTTTTGTAATAATTCTCCACATATCAGACTGAGTAATTTCGTTGAGCGAAGCCGTTTTTGCAACTCAATGAATTTGTTCACCCTATCGTTGCCAGGACAGGTCACCGACCTCTCGATATGACGTTCTCAAGGTGAACGCTTTGTCACTATGCTGAGTGCCACGGCCTTCGCTTCATGAGCTGTCTATTTAGCCACTCAATTTTTGTTGGCCAAAGCGGATCTATGATTTTCTCGAAAAAAGGGAGGCGAGAATCTACTAGTTTAGTTTGACCAAAAGGATTTTCCGAGCTCTCTAAAACGCTGAAAGACCCGATATTATCAAATTTACCCAGGCCAATAATTTCTGAAAAAAGGATAAAATGCCAAAAAATATATAGCCAGAAATTGAATCTTTGAGAAGAAATCGAACGCCTTTGTTATATCTATGTCTGGTTGCTGCCTCAACCAGATATTAAGACTTGAATTTGCTTTAAAAAGCCAAAGCATGATAGGTTACGATTCCTCACACAGAACAAGGATAGCCGGCTGCTGCGCAAGTAGCACAGAATTTTCCACAACTTTTCCATCACTCAAAGAATTCTCTTGACCATTTTCATCGTAATCTTTTTGAGTGCCAAACTATAGCCTGTTTAGGGACAAGCTATCATCAAATTCACAAGGTGAAACTATCACAGCGTAGCTTTGAATGTTCCGACCACCGTTCCAACTCTGCGGAATAATTCCTAGAATGAAAAAATGATGGAAACTTCATTAAAAAATAAAAATTCAAAAAAAATTCAGTTTTTTTTTAATTTTCCCTTCACAGGCTTTAAAAAGTTTGAAAGGACGTGTTTAGCAGCTTCTGATAGAGTATTATATAGACCAAACATACAGCCTTAATTCAAATCGGAACAATTTTGTTCTGGAATCAATCGCATAAGTTTTCATACATTTTCAGACAGTATAAAAACTTCCAAACTTACGACAGTTATAAAAATGAAAAAAAAAAAAGCACTGAGCACAAATATTCGGGAGAAAAATACAACCAGAATAAAAAAAGTTCAACAAGTGTTATATATATTCATTTTTATTTTATCTTAGTTTAATTCAGTTTATAGTCCGTTGTGGCAGTGACCTTGAGGGTCAGTGATTGATACCTTCCAGCGGCGTTGTCACTCTCCAGTGGTGCTAAAACAGTTGAACATCTAAGTTCGTAGTTATCAAGTTGACGGATTTAATTTTCATTTCATTGCGGAATTTATTTTGCTGGAGAATCGTTTTCAACATGGCGCAGCCAGCAGCGATAGGCTTTGGGGGAGGAAAGAATCCGTTGGGGATTACGGCATTCTGGCCGAGAACGTGGTCAGGACGAGCTCCAAAACCGGAAACTGCATTTAATTTTAACCACTACCAGGTACCCCCGGATAGTGGACGAATTCGAAGAAAACTGTAAAAATGAGAGAAATGAGAAGTTTAAAACTTACCAGCTATTGTCGCGAAAACGATGGGAAGGGGAGTCCCTTGAACAATTCCATTCTGTACTAAGTAGACTCGCGGCTCGATGCAGTCTCGGCACGCTTGAAAGACGTATTTTACGCGACGTCTTCATGGTAAACATGACTAACAAGGATGCACAGACGGAATTATGTAGGTCTACAAAAACACCGGACGAGGTGTACAAGATTGCGTTATCGTACGAAAAGGGAGAGAAGTATGCTAAAAGTTACAAAATTACCGGTGGGGACTAAACACGGCGCCAGGGGGCATTACATATAAAAGCTGAACTAATCAGTTCTATCCGAGGCGGATTCCGAAGGCCATTTCAAGGGGGTGCCAGGGGATCATTCCGGGAGAACGCGAGAGGCGGGGCGGATAGACGTTGTTTTAACTGCGACCAGACGAATTTTAAAACGGAACACATTTCAAAATGTCCAGCCCGCAACGCAACTTGCAACTATTGCAAAAAAGACAGGGCATTATGAGCGGACATGCCACGAGAAGAGAGGTGCAAACCGTGGATGCGTTGGACTTATTCACGGCGAGGCGAGCATGGATGACCAATTTACGGAGCATGAGGACGCATCGTCACAACACGATACCTCTGTAGGATGGGCAAATAACCGCCTACTAAAATCCCACAGTTGGGATTCGGATAGCTCCGATGACTACAACGTCAAGTCGATTCGGAAAAAGAAGGAAGAGCATGAATATAAAGTAGCGGGGGTACAATTGCCATTGAAGATCAACGGGAAAACAACGACGGCGTGGATTGAAAGTGGGTCGTAAATTTTGATTTTCATTATCAGCGAACTCCGGAAAACGTTGGGAAAATCGGGGGTAAATTCATTACCTTTGGGGCCGAATAACGATCAGTTCCGCAATGACGGAGAAGATGAAGGCAACATTAACATCAAATGGGTGGTCGGCACAGACGTACATCAAGGTTATCGGTGAGTGCAGACCGTCAATTATTGTTGGGCGGTATCTGATGCCACAGCCGGGACTTCAACGGGTTCAAGCCGCAACGAGGGATGTCATAAGTATCCAAGGGCACGCGGAGCATCAACAGGATAAGCCATTGGACGAATGGCAACTGCATTTCAGTAAGCAATTCTATAATTTATTTAATAGGGCAGGGCTAACCCTCAACTATGAAGTACAAGCTAATTTACTAAAAAGCACTAATGCCGGTGCAGAAGAAATGTAGACGCGTTCCAATCACGCTCCAAGATAAAGTTGATCAGGAAATCGAAAAATTACAAAAAACTCGAATAGTGCTCGGATAGACATTTTGTACCACCGATCGTTATCACAGTGAAAAAAAGACGGGTCGATAAAATTAGCACTTGATTCAAGGGAACTAAATAAGCAGGTACATAACAAAACAAAAACTGTCTCAATTGATTTTTTTATGGGTTCGATCCACGGCCTTCATAAATTTTCACCGGCACTCGCGGAAACGTCAGCGCCACTCCTGCCGTTACTGAGTAAACAAAATGATTTCGAGTGGTCGGCTGGAGAATCGTTTTCAACACAAGCCAGCTTGAGTAAAACGACTTATTGTTCCGACCTCTAACGAAAAAGATGACTTTTTCTGCTGGAGGTGACTTTTATTAAGACCACTTTCGTCTCATTTTAAGTAATGTGACAGAAACTTTGTTCAATTCCAAAGATATTGCTGTTCTAAGCTCAGCCTGAAAAATATATTTTACTAGCATTTTTTTTCTTGAAACGTTCACTTCTACATTTTTTTTATATATTTTTTTTGCTATGATTCGATGAAACTTTTATAGGTCGCGATGATTTTTTTTCTGTTCAGGGAAACTTTTAATATTTGTTCAGGCTTAAAATTATATGTTCGACATTTGACGTAATTTTTTTTCAGTTTTTTCTTTCGTTAAAAGGAAGGCAAACTGCAAAAGTGTAGAATTGCAAAAAACGTGATCGACTTCTACTTTCGAAAGTGTAATTTAAATTTCAGATTTCCCAGCAAAATCAAAATTATGTTAATTTTATCAAAAAATTCTTAACGCAAATTAAATTTTTTTCAAAAAACAACTCAGTATTTTTTTGTGTACTTGCTTTTTTTACTTGGCCGTTGGCTATATATTTTTTTACTTTTCCAGTAACCGGTGACATACTTGTTTTAGAGATACAATTGTTTTTTTAGACAATTGTTTAATGAGAGAAAGAAGTTTTTACATTACTCGCAATTTTTCCAGCTTTCTTTTTTCTTCATTATAGTGTGCTAAAAGATCAATATTTCTAGGCTAAAAAAAAGAAAATAACGAAAATTTTTCGACCAGCGATTTAAGTGACGGTATTAAAAAACGAAACATTTTTTCTTTTTTTTTCAGTTTTTCTGAAAATGTTTGTAGTTTTTTTTTGCAAAAACTGATTGAACTAAGTAAAGAGAATAATAATGAGAAATAATAATGTTCAGATTAAAGAGAAAAAAGCAGAACAGTTAGATTCACTTTTCAATCTCTCATCGCATCATGTGTATGTCTTTTTGTCCAAGAAACGGAAAAATTCAAACCAAAGTTTTTTTGAAACTATGAGACAAATTTATAGTTTTTGGTGACTAAATCCTCACTAATAGTCTTGAGTATGACCCCCGCACAAGTTTCTTTGTTGTAGTCAAAAACGAGAGAAAAATCAGGCCTTGCACATGGCTTTTACAACTTCATGCGGTGTGCAAAACAAAAAGCTGAAAAAACTGTGTATTAATTCTTGAACAGATGTCGCAGCTAGAAGAAGGGCTGGTAAGTCGTGAACAGATGGTGACTGTGGGTCCCTCTCAGCTACTCTACATCGACACCGATGACTTCCTCTTCCTACGCAAGGCACAAGACAAAGTGCCTAGACTGTACTTGATGTGAGCAGAAAAATCGCAGATAAAATAGAGCATTTTTCGGGTTTTTAGGCTACTATTTGATCAGAAGCAGGATATAACTGCAAAGAACAAGGGTCAATTTTTCTGATTTATAGTTTGACCGAGAAACTGTATACGAGAAAGTGTTTCAGTCGAATCTGAAATCAGCATATAAAATTCCGGCTCGATTGAACCAGGAATCCAGTACAAAATTGAAAAAAAAAGTTTTTAAGAAAAACGAACTTATGCCGAAACATAAAATTGACCAAAACCCGAAATGAAAAAAAAACAGCAAATAACTTTTTTTGAAGCGGTGAATGAAAATTAACTGCGTTTTTGTAGGTCTCTGCCTCTGTTCAAACAGTACCCAATTGAAAGACTTCTGCAATCTGTTGGGGCAGTTAGCTGCTCATTCTACCCGTAAGTCTCAGTTTCTGACTTCCGAATGTATTGTTGGCTCACAGCTAATGATATACTATATCTCTATATCTGGTTTTTAGCTCGGGGTCACTGGTGTGCAAGAACCTCAAGTCGTCAGATTCCTTCTTCATTTGCAAAACAGTTAGTCTCGTCGGCCCGATAATGAACCAGATAATCATCTCCAAGTTTAACTCAGTCTCTTTTTCTAGAATGTTTTTTTTTAATACAGGGTAGTTGTTCAATCTTGAGGCGTCAGAATATCACAGATGTGAAGAAGACTAAAGAGTACCACAAAGCAGCCCACTCTGACTCAGTGGCCAAACACAAGACTTTCTTCCACGCATACGGCTAGTAGATACGTGTACACAGACGACCTTTTCAACTCGTTATGCTTCCTCATACGTTGTGATCTCATATCAAAAGCTCGAAAAATATTTTTGGAAACAATTCAAAAAAAAACTCACTTGATCCCGTTGAATAAAAAGTAATCCATAAAAAGCGTGCGATAAGAAAAGGATTTTTTTTATCAGCTAAATTTCATAAAACTAAATTGCAATCAGGTTAAAAATATTTCTAGTCATTTATCATCCTGGCAATTGACAAAATTCCACGATCGTAGCTTCCTCCAGTTTGAGGATTTTTAGCAATGTCAGGGTTTGTTCCTTGCTTATGGAATGCAAACCTTGCATAAATCATGCAAAATGAAAGCAAAATCTTGCTTATTTCTTGCGAAAAGAATGCAAATGGTGCGAAAATGATTGCAAAAAGAATGCAAATGATGCAAAATGTACTTTCTTGCATAATTTTTTCTATAGAATATCTCGATAAATTTGCATTCCAAGAAAATGAAAATTTGGGGGCAGCTTTCCCGGAAACAATCTTCCTAAACTTTCAGAAAAGAGCGGTGGGCGGAGTGAGGGGGGTTGTTATGAACAAACGGTGAAAGGGGTTGGCGGAACGTTGATTAACTTTAAAACTACAAATTTATTTAGAAACTGGAAATCGTAAGCTGATTGAGAAAGGTGCCTCTCCTGCTGATTTTGCTTTTCGCACTAGCACGCCTTTAACAGTTAGTTATCAATTAATTTGAAGCTCAATTGATCAAAAGGAAAAATCACGAATATCTTCCTATTTTAGTCTGAAGTTGAGCAATATGAGAACCTTCAGAGAAGTGTGCAAGAGCGAAAGGCGATTGTGACCAAACGGGTTTTCGTCAACATCGGCAGATTCACAAAAGACCAACTGATGGTAGACTTTTTATTACCAATTTTTTTTGTTCCATTAAATTATCTCATTTCAGAAAGTATCATAAACTCTCTAATGGAACTAAACTGTAGGGAATCCATGAAGAACAGCTGACGACAAGAGAAGGGGTCACCGACAGTCTTTCATTGGTTGGCGAATTTTGTCTTTTTATTGAAGTTGGATCAGTAATTTGTAATCATCAAAAACCGCAGGGCAATTTCTGTAAACAATCAACAGATAAATGAATCAGTGTTTCTAAAGTTCCAGTAAAATCGGCAGTCAACATTCAAGCTGTAATAAAACTGTTTGCTCACAAAAAAACGAAAATTTTTTGATCGTAGGTTAGCGAGGGAGCAGAAATAATAAAAATTCAGAAGAAGCGCTTCTTTCATCTCGCAGTTCCACAAACCCTGCTTGAAGTCCAGCATTTTGTGAGTATCACATTCATCGATTGTGCAAAATCTTCCAGCGAAACTGTTTCTTCTAACTTGATATTTCTTAACCAGTTCAAAACATTTGCTCTGGAATCAGAGGTTCAGCAGAAAATTGATGACAGGGACTCCTGGCCACACTTCCGGAAGAACTTTGTGTCGAAACTTTTAGAGGACAAACAGAAACTGAAAGCCATGTTAGATCCCAGGGGTTCCGGATGCCCAAATAATTAACTTCCTATTTCCTCAAACTCAGAGCCAAAATGTTTGCTACCAACAGCTATCATTGCGTACACGTGTTTAAATTTTTTTTGCTTCAAATGCCTCTAGTCGAAGCAAGCGCACTGAAATTGAAAGAATAAAAGCCTCGGCACTCAAAAACATGAGAACTTGATCCAAATAAGGTAGAAATGCAGGCGCTGGTCTAGGATTTTCACAAGGGGGGGGGGTGGATTTTGTCGACCACTTTTTAGGTTGCAAAATTGATTTTCCGGGCTTTCCCAAAGCACTGAAAACCGCAGGTAAAATTTAGAAAATCTGGCCAGAAAAGCCTTTTTGGATATTTTGGGTCGACAGAGGGTCGAATCTCTGAAAAAAAAAGCGTCCGCTAACTCTCTCCCCCCCCCCTAAATCCGCTGGTATGGAAACGATATGGATTAGAATACTTAACATTAATTAAGCGTCAAACATGAACGCTACTTTGATGATATAAATTGCTATTTTTCTCCCTCAGTCTTGCTTCAAGAAAGACAGATCAACAGCGGTGCTTAAGGCCACTTGATCAACAGCGGTGATTTAATGCGGATGAGAAACTTTCAAGGCTGAATTGATGCAAGCCATTTGGTTTTAAAACTTTATTAACCAGATAGTAAACATATTCTTTTGTTTTTACAAAGCGTGTGACAGGAATATTTTCAAAACAAAAATGTTAACAAATTAAATTTTAAATCCACCTTTAAGGGTTACATATCAGTATTTAGACAACCGCGTATTCAAAATGGTCAGTTTTTAGACAAATACCTTTTCAACCAATCAGAATCGAGACAAAGAAGAAATTAATAAATAATTATCATTTAATTTGGATTATTTATGTCTTTTCTCGATTCTGATTGGTTCATACAGTATTTGTCTAAATACTGACGAGTATGAATACGCGGCTGTCTAAATACTGGCTGCACTCCACCTTTAAGTTATTCACTTAATAGGCCAGCTGAAGCATTCAGTACATTGAAATGTACTACAGTGCTGATTTAAATTAACCGGACAAAACGCGTTAAACTTGAAATTTAAAACGCGTTTTTCTCAATTTGGGTTGAGTTTAGGTGAAAACTTATGAAGATAAAACTTGCTTAAAATTTTAGCAGAATTAATATGGTGTAATTTGTTTTGCAAAAATCGGGCCAAAAAATTTACCGCAAAAATGGGTCATTTTGGCTTTTCTTAGTTAATCAAAAATTGCGCCAAAAAAACCCAGTCGATCACAGACACAGTTATATCAAAGTGAGCCCCTTACGTAGCCCAACAAACTTTAAGAAGGGTATATTCTCCAAAACATTGTATAAGTTGATTTATTTTTGTTTGATAGACAAAAAAGGTCGTTTTTACTATATAAAATATCAACTTTTTATTTAAAAACAATTTTTAAACGGTTTGCAATTTTTTTTGGAGAAAATACCCTTCTTAAAATTTGTTGGGCTACGTGAGGGGCTCACTTTGATATAATTATGCCTGTGATCGACTGGGTATTTTTGATCGACTGGGTAATTTTTGATTAACTAAGAAAAGCCAAAATGACCCATTTTTGCGGTAAAATTTTTGGCTCGATTTTTGCGAAATAAATTAGAGGCATATTAATTCTGCTAAAATTTTAAGCAAGTTTTGTCTTCGTAAGTTTTCACTTAAACTCAACCCAAATTGAGAAAAACGCGTTTTAAATTTAGCTCGTTTTTTCCGGTTAATTTAAATCAGCACTGTATACTGAATAGAAAAAAGCATAAGTAATCTCGGAATGCAATCTTGCAATATATTTAGCAAGCAGTCTTTTACAAAAAACATATGATTCTTTTTTTCTAGCGAAGTTCAAGTAAAGTATGTTTTCCATTTGTCAACAATAGGATACATTTCGCATTCTACTACAAACTTACAAAAAAGTAATTTTGATAGTTTTTTATTCAGTGCTTCTGAAATTTAATCAAGCCAACACTCAGCAAACTATCACAGTGAAGGTTGCTGAATTATGTTTCTCCTAAGGGGTTACATAGCAGTATTTGGACAACCGCGTATTCAGACTGGTCAGTTTTTAGACAAATACTGTTTCAACCAATCAGAATCGAGAAAAGACATAAATAATCCAAAATAAATAATAATTATTAGTTAATTTCTTCTTTGTCTCGATTCTGATTGGTTGAAACAGTATTTGTCTAAAAACTGACTAGTCAAAATACGCGGTTGTCTAAATGCTGATATGTAAACCTTAAAGGTGGATTGAAAGTTTAATATGTTAATTTTTTTGTTGAACGCTACTTTCATGATTTATATTGCTATTTTTCTCCCTCAGTCTTGCTTGAAGAAACACAGATCAACAGCGGTGCTTAAGGCCACTTGATCAACAGCGGTGATTTAATGCGGATGAGAAACTTTCAAGGCTGAATTGATGCAAGCCATTTGGTTTTAAAACTTTATTAACCAGATAGTAAACATATTCTTTTGTTTTTACAAAGCGTGTGACAGGAATAATTTCAAAACAAAAATGTTATCAAATTAAATTTTAAATCCACCTTTAAGGGTTACATATCAGTATTTAGACAACCGCGTATTCAAAATGGTCAGTTTTTAGACAAATACCTTTTCAACCAATCAGAATCGAGACAAAGAAGAAGTTAATAAATAATTATCATTTAATTTGGATTATTTATGTCTTTTCTCGATTTTGATTGGTTCATACAGTATTTGTCTAAATACTGACGATTATGAATACGCGGCTGTCTAAATACAGGCTGCACTCTCTCCTAAGGCAAAAGTAACATAAAAAACTTGCACGAGTGCATGCAAAAAAAATTTTTTATCACTTTTTATAAAATAATTTTTAAATAAGTTGAAAAAATGTTTCTGTTGGTAATCTGACGTTTTGTGCCACTAATTATTACTATAAAAAAGGTATATTGACAAAAAAAAGTTTTGCGAATTCAGATAATTGTGCAAAATGCATAAACCATAAGCCATCAGTGAAATTTGTAAGTGAAGTTTGTTTTCACTGACTTATATGTGGCCAGAATGAGAATGCAAATTGAGAATTGAAATCTTGCCGAGTTCTTACAAGACTTTTGCAAGAGCTGCCTTACTTTGACAGAATCTTGCAAGATTTTCATCTTAATTACACTAGAACTTCGAACTTGCTGACCTATCTGCTTTCCTGTCTTAACTAAAAAGATTCACAAAAAAACTTACAAAATTCAGATTAGATCATATAAAAACATTTTGTTATTGTTCTGAATTTCGGGAAAATTGACGGAGTTTTTGTGCTTGAGGTGGTTTTCATATCTACAAACAAATTTCGACTTTTTAACAACCAAAGTTTTATAAAAGTTTTAAGGAATCATATGAAAGATATGGTAGTCCTAAATTCCGAAAGATGTTCCATCTGTGATATTTTCTTGTAAAGTTATGGGGATTTCACAATCGCCAATTTGGCCTATTTAGGATAATGAACGCGCAACATATTTTATGCTATCAACGCGTAAGCGTCTTAAACTTTTTTTTCAAATTGAATTGAGATGTGCTATTTGATGTATTTAATACACTGTGTTATGCGAAACATCATTTATGCTTTTGAGCGTGTGAGGGGAAGTTTTTCAAAAAGTGCAAGGGAAAACATTTAAAATGGCGAATCATTAACTAAATTATTATAACTTAAATCATATTTTTTTAATGCGAGAAAAAAGTTAGAGTGAACCCTATAATTCAAAAACTGACATTTTCTAGCTGATATTTTTTTAAGAAGCATAATCTGGCAATAGAATAAAATTAAATCTTATAGTTTAAATTTTGACCTTGTTTGAATCAGCAGGGAAAGCCACAGAGGAAAGTCTTTGGATCTATTTCGTTCAATCAAGGTATGAATCAAACTTTTGTCGGTAATATGGAAGTGATACAAAAATTTGATGCCAAAGTTTTAGGTGTACACCGTAATCAAATGTTTAAGTAACCATCAGCTTCCTACTGCTCAAATAAAGTTGTTCATTTTTGTTCCGAGTTTGAACAAGTGAGGAATAAGTACGCTCAAGTTTTTTTTATCCTCAGACCTTTCTTTTTACTGAGTTAAGGTTTTGACTAAAAATGTTTGTCGCCTGCTCTTTTTGAGGCTTATTTCAGTTCAATTAAAAGATAGAGATTTACCTATTTGGGAGTTTAGTTGTTTGTTATAATTAACGCAGGCTTATTTCCATTTTTCTACTAACGAGTCATGTACAACTTCATATAGTCTGAATAAAAACCCATTTCAATTTAAAGGGAGAAAGACTGATCGTAGATTAGGCCAAAGCATCGAATACTCTGACAGCCCTCTATTGTCGACCATAAGTTTTTTTATTATAAAAAAAACCTAGTAAAACAATCGAAAAAAAGTAAGAAAACTTTGAATATTAAAAAAAGCGTGAGCTAATGATGTAATAAGACCAATACGTTTGCCTCAAGTCAATTTAGAAAAACTTAATGAGCAAGTAGATGGAACAATGGTCGTCAAAGTAGATATGAGTCCAAACAACAAAAAATGACTGAAAAAAAAACAACTCCAGGCATAATAATTCCGCATTTGTTTCAAAAAATGGAAAACAAGCAAGAAATAATGTTTCTAGTTTATGAAGTTATTCACTTCGTACTTAATTTTGCGAGCTAAGGAAAGCTTAAAAAAACAAAGCTTTTAACTGAAACCAAATTCAGCTTATATACTTTGAGGAACAGTTAGTTATATTGTTCAGATGTTCACGTTTCGATACTCGTTTTAGTAATTAAACATGGAAAACTTTTGAGATAATTGAGAATGGGATATTTTTATCATCGAAATTAGTAAACTGAGCTTCTGTTGAAAATAACTATTTCGATCTCTGAAATTGCCCGCTGTGAATGGCTAATATTTCATTATAATACCATTTTATAGTTAACGTTTTAGTCGATTATAGCTACATTTTGGCTCCACGCAATCAATTTTAATCTTTTCAGATCCATATTTTTCTGTA